TATATATATATATATATATATATATATATATATATAAAGATATTTATAAAAGTAAATGAAATTAATTGAAAATATTTTTTTCAGGGTATCAAATGAAATCGGGAAAATATTCAACGTGGACAGAATCACGTTGGCACATACTCAGTGTCCGTATGTTCATTAAACCATCAGAAGCAGTAGAACAATTGACAATAGCATTAGGAAGTGTCATAGCTATTATCTCTTTGATTGCTGTTTGGTTCATAAACTCTCGAGCGGATATACTGTTTGATTACAGTCCAGCAACAGAGGATTGCTAGGTAAACGCCGCGGACCACATATTAATGACGAGATTGAACCATCAGCAAGACGAAACTGTTCCAGTGACTAGTCTTTGACAGCGAGTAAAAGAATATATGATTCATATGTGTGGTACGCCCTCGGACGTAAATTTCTACTTATTACTTTAAATTAATTTGACGCGTAGTGCCTCTGGTTTGCTATCAGTGCAATCTAGATGTTCTATTGTGTAAATCTGTGAGTGAAGTATCAAAAGACAATATTATTAAATTGTCTTTTATGTTGCATTTGTGGAATTATAAAATGTGATTATTTCATATATTTTAATTTTAAATGATATTGATGCTCATCAAACAGTTTTAAGCATTTTTTTTTTATGTACATCCAGGGTTAAATAATTAAATTATTTTAGAATACATATTTATCAATTAATAATATAAGTGTAAGTTGAGTTAGTATGTACAGAAAAAATTTTGAAAAATAATTTTTTTCACAACATAAACTGTAATTCATAAATTAACTGTACATTTTACAAGTGCATTATTTATTTATTTCTCTATTATCATTAATATTTTTAAAGATTTTCCTGTGATAAAAGTAAAAGCCAGAAAATTTGCACTTGGCAAATTTTCAGAAATAATAGATTCATGTAAAATAGAACGTATTAAAAAATTACTCGTGTTTAAATAATTGCAGAAAAATTTTCATTTTTAATAGAGTATTAATTTTTTTAATTTCGAAAATTTAAAAGTTAATTAAATACATAAGCACGAAAAATTTTTTATCGAGATAGTTCTATTTTATTAAAATTTATATAGGATTTGAAAAATTCACTAAGAAAAAACACTCAGCTTTTTTATATTTTTTTTCATCACTTGTGACTCTATAATAGATAAAAATTATACGATATTGTGGATATTGTATTTTTTTCATAATAATTTAAAATAATTATAGAATAATATCATTTTTACATTCTCGTTTACAGTAAACGTAAAGAAAAAAAAATAAATTGAGTTTAAATAAAATAAAGAGAAATTTGACAAAATTTTATTGCAAGCGTGATGGTATTTATTATCAATAAACTTAATTAACAGGGTTTTGATGTACACAAGAGAGAAATATTTCATTCATTCACGCATTTCTTTCAAACTATTTATTTTAATACGCAATGCATGTTTCATAGCTGTATATTAATTTCAATAACTTATCTCTAAATATTTTTTTTTTTTTTTTAATCAAAGTAGAAAGATCTAAGCATTAAAATGACTTTAATTCAACAAGAATCATAAAAATATTTATTTATTTATTTATTTATTTGTGTTATATTTTTTCCAAGCACCCGATCTCATTTTTTTGATATTAAAATAATTCAATTATATGGATAAGTTACTGAAATAAGCGTAACATAAAAGATCCACGTATATGCATTTAAGATAATCATTAGAGTCTATATAAAAACAAAAAATAAAAAATGAACGACTGTAATGAAGTTAAAGATTAATTGAGTGAAAAAAAGATCACTCCTACTTCGATTAATACTAATTTAACTTCATTGCATTTATAATATAATGATCAGAGTTTGCAGATCTGTTTACATTTGACGAGTTTAAGTTGAGATAATACACGCTTATATTATATTATTTCACATTCATTATTCTATTATGAACAAAATGCAATATAAGTACCTAAAGAGAAATACTTAAAAATTTATTTTATGTCATGAATTTTGTTTTTTCTTTTTTTTTTTTTTTTTTTGTTAATTTTTAAAATGTAAAATTTTGTCTATGCGTGCGCTAATGGATACATTTTTTTGTAACAATAATTTTCATATTCTCAGTCAACGCTCTGCATTCATCAACGTATATTTATTATATGAATTTATTTGTTTATTAAATGTCTTATTTGCTTTATTTTATTATATTTTTTATTCGGGTATTTTGATCGTCAAGTAAATAGTAGGTATTAGGAGGCTGGGCACCGCCCACCGAGTTATCACAGTCGTCTGGTGCCGCAGCACATACGTATACGTGATTCAGCCTTAAAACTATATTTCTTACATTAAAAAATCATAATTAATTTGAGCACGTACATACACGCCACAGGTATAATTTTTAATAGACGAGATCATTAATTTTAGATCAATTCGTTGTTATATAATTATTCAATTGCATTCAACATTATGTGCATTTATACACGCAGTGGTCTCCAATCGGCAATACTGTTAAAACGATTATTTATTTCTCCAATTTTAAGATGCTATTTTTACTTAAATACAAAGTATTGCACATTAAATTACTAATTAAACATATTTTGGAAGATAATAATCACAAAAAAATTTAATATATATTCTTCAACGTACTTTTAATTTAAATAATATAAAAAAAAAAAAAGTCATAATTATCTTACTGAACACGAAAAATTATAAATTCACTTAAATAAATTTAAATTTCATCAAAGTTTAAACGCTCATGAAATTAAAATATTTCTTGAATGATTAAATCTTGAAGTACACGATTAATATAACAATTTTGAAGACTTTGTAATTAAACTGGAGTAATAGAATGTAAAATTTAAAAAAATACACTCAAGTTGAGTAGTGGAAGTTAAGCCGTTATGGACGGAACTATTATGTAAAGATAAAATTAATTAATATAAATAGTTCATGTGGAAGTGTTACTCAATTTAAGTACTCGAGTGTCTTTGCTTTGTCGTTAAATTTACAATATATCTTGATTTAATTTAATGAAAAGAGACTACTATAAAATGATAATGGTATGCAGATATTGTATATGCATTAATATTATATATAATAATAATAATAATAATAATAATAATTCTTACAAACTACAAGTGGCGTGTGCGTATGTCATGTTAAAAATGCTTTTAGAATTACAAGAAAAAATTATTATTACAACGTATTAATATAACGTTTATGCAAGTACTTTAAATTTTAACATTATTTTGCTTTTTATCTTTACTTCTAAAATTACAAATATTAATTATTAAGTATTTCATAATTTTCATAACTGCTCAGTATGGTTTATGTACAGCAGTATCGAGGATCATTGCCCGCGTTACATGCGCAGAGATGAATCTTAGAATTTAAAAATATAATTGTTATATATTTTTATTTAAGAAGTGTTATATTATTATTATTATTTTTAATATTAATATTAATATTATTATTATCTTGGAGGGACAGCACTTTGCTAAGTCACGCCGATGCAGAGCTGAACAGATTACGCGTGAAAGTTACCACACTCTCTGATGATGGCACATTATTAAAATAAAAAATTTTTTTTCCACAAAATAATCCAGCTATTCGTCCAATTGTTATTTTACAAATTATATTTCATGAAATCTTAATAACAAAACAGCCTAAATAATTATTATAAATAGATGATAGATAAACAGCCTAATAATATAAAATATAATTTAATTAAAAAAAAAAAAAAAAAAAAAAAAAAAAAAAGAGAGAAAAAAAAAATGATCGTACATTATTATTCAATCTAAATTAACGTTATGTATATATTGGCAGCTATGATTGAATAAATTTAATTGGAAAATAGATGAATGAAAATGAAGATTATTAGCCGGTACAAGAGCGAGATAACTTCTAACCACGAATCCCTGATATTCACGTGATTAATTACGTATTTAACAGTTAAAGCGTTATCTAACCTCGAATACCTTAATACTGTAATGAGCAACTTGGTTCGAAGGTACCATAGAGAGGTTAACGACATATTAATAAATGACAGAGGTCAGTGAAGATGATCCTCATCACTATCATTGCCGTCTTTAAATCTCTCGGCTCCTCCATCACCATCACTAGAACCTGAGTCGCTTTCCGAATCTCCTGACTGCCAACCGCTTGGCTGCTGTTGTTGGTGCAGTTGATGCTGCTGTTGTACAACATGCTTCATAACTTTGTGTCGTTTACCTGAACGTGGAAGAGCTTCAGCACCTGCTCCATCCAACATTGGTTGTAAAATTCGTCGCCGCGCATTAATAAACCAATTATTTACTTGAAGTAACGTCAAATTCGTTTGACTTGCTATTTGACGTTTTTCATCTTCCGTAGGATACGGATGCTGTGTAAGATTTATTTATTATTAAACACTTTAAATATATAAATTAAAATTTTTAATTTAAGCTAACTTTTACTTACAACTAAATGTTGGAATAACCAAGCACGCATGATGCTAGTAGCTTGTTTAGGAAGTACACCGCGCTTTTGTCTACCCTTTCGATTGCTTCCACTACCACTGGTATGGTTTGAGGGTGTAGATCCACATCCTTCATCTTCATCTTCACTGGGTATAGAAGAAGGAGATCCTGGAACGGTAATATCTGGACAAAAATAAGTCAATAGTTAATAATAAAATTTTAAATACTAAACAATTTTAAATTACACCAAAAAAGAACTTTTTTTTTTTTCTTCTATCGCTTTTCAGATGCCATAAGGGTGTATACTGGCAAAAGGTCCCGGTGAAAAGCCATAACGGTGGCGCAAAAAAACCGACTATTTTTTTTTTTTAGTCTCGAGTGAAAAAATGTTAGTTTTTGATGTTTTAAGAGCTCTCTCCAAAGGAAAGCTTAAAAAAAATTTTTAAGAGGTGGCTCCAAATTTTTTTAAATTTCAAAAATCGTCAAAAATAAATTTTTTTTTTTTCTCTCGTTACGTCATAATTTTATAGACCAAAAAAAAAAGGTTTTCCTGAAAGTTTCAATTTAAAATGTGAATTTGAAAAGGTCGCTCATAATTTTTTTTTTTATTTATTAATGACTATTCAATTGGATTTGCATTTTTTTACTCTGAAATTAAAAAAAAAATTATGAGCG